CTTTCATCTTCCATTCTCTCCCCTCTAGGCTTTTGTACATGTGGCCTCATCTCCCTAGAATGTCCTTGCCAGCCTCATCGGCCTGGCCAGCTTTTCCTCTCTTTTCAGGACTCAGTGCAAATATCAAACATCCCTGACATCCACCTCCTCCTTAGTCTGAACTGGTCCTCCTTCCTGTCCTAACCCGTGTGTCCTGCTATACCATTAGTTACCACTGATGCACTGTAACTGTAACCTGCCTCCCCCACTGGCAAGTGAGCTATTGAAAGATAACAGCTATGTCTTATTTCTTTTGTATCTCCTATCCCTAACCCCGAGTCTGACAGACAGATACATAATACAATGAATGTCTGGTCATTCATTTATTCATGCCACAAATATTGGACCAGGGACTGTACTTGGTGCTAAAGGTACAAGAGCAAAAAGGGCTGAAAGTATGAAGCTCTGGTCTCATGGAGTCTGTATCCAAATAGGGGCGAGAGAGACAATATCAAGTAGATAAATAATTGTAGATTATTATAATTATAGGTTATTATCATTGTAGATTATTAAGTCATTATAGATCATAATCTATTAGTAGTAGAGAAATAATTATAGATTACTATTGTGGAGTGCTCACTCTGTGCCAGAATATCAGTGTCCACACCCACACACCTACACAAAGTACAAGTGCTTATACACCCGTTTATTAGATTATATTGGACAAACAAGACAAGCTTTGACCGATTCTCAACCTTGCCCAAGGCACAGTGTGTTAGACTCTCAGTTGAAGAAAATAAACAGTGTTATTTCATCAACATCAACAGAGGGATCTTACTTTAGGAAGGGTGATCAGGGGAGGCCTGGAAGAGTGAATGAATGAATGAATGAGATTACAAACACAATGAAGCTGGGTCCAGAATGAAGCTGGTCACTAGAAGCCCCTTTATCTCAGGAGAGTTTCTGACACCTCAGGATCCAATTGGCAGTAGAGATTTAAGTTTGGCTCTCTATGCAGATAACAAGGCAGAGGAATTTGCCCAAAGCTCCCCTTTCCAGTGCTTATCTTCAGAGTCAGTGAGAGAGAAGGACTAGGATTCTGGAAACACAGTCAGAATAAAATGCAGCCATTCCTGAGAGCTCACTGGGTTGAAGCCCTAAGGTTGGCCTTGGGGACACCATTAAAAGACTTGTGGGCCGGGCGCGGTGGCTCAAGCCTGTAATCCCAGCACTTTGGGAGGCCGAGGCGGGTGGATCACGAGGTCAAGAGATCGAGACCATCCTGGTCAACATGGTGAAACCCCGTCTCTACTAAAAATACAAAAAATTAGCTGGGCATGGTGGTGTGTGCCTGTAATCCCAGCTACTCAGGAGGCTGAGGCAGGAGAATTGCCTGAACCTAGGAGGCGGAGGTTGCGGTGAGCCGAGATCGTGCCATTGCACTCCAGCCTGGGTAACAAGAGTAAAACTCTGTCTCAAAAAAAAAAAAAAAAAAAAAAAAAAAGACTTTTGGGGGCCCTTCCATTCAACCCTCCCCTGTCCTACCTGGGAGAGGCACAGGTGTAAACATCTAATGAGGCAATAGGAGAAGTGCAGTCATAGGGGTGTGTGCACAGGGCAGCAGAAACACAGAGGGTAGGCAGGTTCTTTCTGCTGGGATGGAGAGGGCACCAAGCAGAGGGAGGCAAGGAAAGCTTCTGAAATTTATTCTGAGCTGGGCCTTGACTGGAAGATGAACAGAAAAGAAAGTGAACAAGAATATTTCAAGTGGAGAAGAGAGCATGAAGAAAAGCAAGCAGGGACAGAAGTGCAACAGGTGATGAGTGATGCTGAGTAGTGGTGGAGGAAGGTAGAAGGAGAGGATGGGTCTCAAGATTTGCTAAGGCCACATACCCTCTGATTCTAAAAGGCAGCTTGCAAAGGGTCAAATTCAGAGACAGCAACTGCAAGAAATGCCTAGTAAAATTCCCTGCCCTGGAAGGTGGCACAGGGACAACAGGGCAGCCCCTACACCCAGGGCAGTCCCAGCCTTAAAGAATACACCCATCTGGGATGGGGGGAATACTGGGAATTCAAAGAAAGGAAATAAGGAAATGGAGTTGGTTTCTGCCTTATTCAGACCAAGAAGAAAGGAAAGTCACCCCAAGTTCAGGCCTCAGGCACTATGATGCCCATTCATTGATGCACCTCCTCGCAGACAGCACTGTTCGAGGGTGGGAGTACTGGGCAAAGGAGAGTTCCCAAGTGAGGACCCTTTAGCAGCTCCCCCAGGTGTCATCCTGCCCCCTGGAGCTTATGAAATGTGCCACACCTCCTGCAACAGGTGCAGGAAACAGCCAGAGCATTTAGGAGCAATGGCACTTCCTGGGCCTCCTAAGAACCCAGCCCACACCCAACAGGATGGCATCTATGCTCTCCAGGAGAGGGAGAAATTGCCTGCAATCATTCTTCCAGGTGTTGTTCCACAAAGACCTCCTTATGAGACATCCCAAAAGGCCAAATCTATAGCCTACCCTTAAAGGGAAATCGTGATGAATGCAGGCAATACAGTAAATACAAGACAATTTCCTAATAAGAAATAATACCCAACATGCACTAAGTGTTTATGCCACAGTATAAGTGCACACACACACAACAAGTAAAAATGCTGATATACCAGCTAGTTAGGTTATACTGGACAAAGCTTTGACCGTTTCTCAATCTTGTCCAAGACACAAGTACAGAATTCAGGATTCCCAATTGGAATCCTGGCCAAGACAAGAGGATCTCTTGAAGTCAGGAGTTCCCGACCAGCTTGGGCAACATAGTGAGACCCTGTCTCTACAATCCCAGTTGGAATCCTGACTTCTGTTCCTCTGCATGAGGGACATCTGGAAAGCCTCCATTCCTGCAAGACAGGTTCCTCATCTATAAGATATATTGACTGTTTTCTTAAAAAGTCTCAAGTCTGCCAAATGAAGGGCATGCACCATTTCTTAGAGTAAGTGCTCAGGAGAAGGTGTGGGGAAGTGTCTATGCAGCAGTGCACACCTGCCTCCCAGTAGTTCATTAGCTCACCCACACCCAGGTCACGGGGAAGGCAGGGGACAGGTGCTCATTGAGCTCCCTGCCCTGATCTGCTGGTGACTTGCGCTTCTTGATCTACTTCCTCAGGGAATTTCCCATGTCATAAATCTGCACCCTCTCCTCTCCCCACCACTCCACGCATCCCCTGAGCTGAGCTCTCCATGTTCTTCCAGTCCAACTTCAGTGTCTCTGAGCTCCCGAGGTGTGTTCTGAACTGCATTCTCTAATCATAACTCAGCTCTCTGAGTGCCCAGGCTCAACTCACTGCCTTTGGCTCCTCCTCCATATCCCAGTACCACTTTGGAATGGGCTGGGTGGGGCAGGGAGCAAGGGAAAGAGTAAATAAAAAACAGAAAAAGAAGAAAAGAGAGACAAAAAATGAAAGCACAAAAGAGCAACAAAGAGAAGGGGAGAGAAAAGGAAGAGGAAAAATGCTCAGGCAGTGAAAAGATGAAGAGCCAGGGATAGAAAGCAGGGCCACGGGAGAGTGAGCTGGGAGGCTCAGCAGGGTGTTAGGGAGCTGATTGATTATCAGAAGCAACTGCAAAAATCTGTACTTGTCCTAGGGTAGCAGTTGTCAAACCTGAGTGTAAATAAAGATCACAGAAGATGCTTATGAAAATACAGATTTCTAGTTCCTGTTCCAGGGTTCTGATTCTTTAGATATAGGTGGGATCCTACAAATCTGTACTTTTTAAAAATAACCAGCCCAGGAGCTTCTAAGGGAGGTGCTGGGAAATACTGATGCCCATTCTTAGGAGGGCACTTTATGGCATCAAACTCTGAGGAAATTCCCCTCAGAATCTGATATTTTAAATGCTCAACTTTGGAACTCAACCATCTTGGACCATGAAAGCTGGGCTCCAGGTGTGGCCCAATTCTGCTCCCTGAGTAACTGCCTGAATCTGGCAGTATGCCAGGTGCTCTCTGATGGACAGGTCCTCCTCTGGGATGTGGAAAATTAGAATAGAGGGTCTCCAAAGACCTTTTCATCTAGAAGAAACCCACCAGTCTCCTGAAATGTGATGCCCATCTTGATTAACTAGATAGACACTTACATTCAGAGGCCAAAACTTGGCCAAATGTTCATCCTCCAGCCATAGGTGTTAGACAATACAAGTGCGTTTTAAAAAAAGAAATATCAAGGCTAGGCATGCTAGCTCATGTAATCCCAGCAAGTTGGGAGGTCAAGACAAGAGGAACACTTAAAGTCAAAAGTTCTAGACCAGCTTGGACAACATAGTGAAAACTCATCTCTACCAAAATAAAAATAAAAAATAATTCAAATTAGCCAGGCATTCTGGTACATACCTGAAGCCCCAGCTACTCCGCAGGCTGAAGCAGAAGGATCTCTTGTCCCCAAGAGTTCAAGGCTTCGTGAGCTGTGATTGCATCTCTGAACTCCAGTCTGGTTGACAGAGTGAAACCTTGCCTTTAAAAAAGTTAATAAATACATGAAAAAAATTTAAGAACTGATTTTGTTTTTAGGACCTCCTTTAAATTTAAGTTAATGACAACGTGCTTAATTATATGTATAGCATTTTACAACTTTCCTCGAGTATGTCTAATTCCTTACAAGAAAGACTATTTTGTGTTTTAAAGTATTTTTTAAGAGAAGACGACCAAGTTTGTTTTATAGCTTGGTTACCTTAATGGGTTGGTGAGTGTAGTGTGTTGATATAAATAAGTAACTCTTAGAATGCCAAAGACTTTTTTTTTTTACCTTTATTTAAAATAAAAAGAGTACAAGTGCTGGTGTGTTACATAGGGAAACTTGTGTCATAGGAGTTTGTTGTGCAGCTTATTTCATCACCCAGGTATTAAGCGCAGTGCCCATGAGGTATTTTTCTTGATCCTCTCCCTCCCCCTACTCTTCACCCTTCAAAAGGCCCCAGTGCCTTTTGTTCCCCTCTATGTATCCATGTGTTGTCATCATTTGGCTCGCACTTATAAGTGAGAACATGCAGTATTTGGTTTTCTGTTCCTGTGTTAGTTTGCTAAGGATAATGACCTTCAGCTCTATCAATGCTCCTGCAAAGGACATGATCTCCTTCTTTTTCAGATGACAAAGCTTTGATGCCATCATCTTCTGGTAGATACCTTCTAAATTATGATGTTCACATTTCTGCCATGGAAAAGGGGATTTACTAGATTAACTCCTCTGCCTTATTTGTAAAGCCCAACATTAATTCTATAATAGCTCATTTCTCTTCTGCAGCATCACTTCCAGCTGCCCCATGAATAAATCTTCCACTTCATTTATTCTTCCCTCTGTACATTTGTCATTAGACCTTCAAACTTCTGGAATGCCCCCCCTAACATTCAGCCAACCTAAAATCCCCTGTCCATCAAAAGTCCCAAGAGCCAATAATATCTTTCTCATCTCTATGTCCCATATGAAGCCCTTAGTTAGTATTCAGCAAGTATTTCTTGAATGAATGAACAATTCTGTTTCCCCCCACACAGGTTGGATTTTTCTTCTTATAATTAGAAACCCTTTTGATAGTAATATTAATATTTTATCTCATATAATTTTCTCAATGAATTATTATACCCATTATTGGTATCATATTATACCAATGAATTATTATACTCGTAACTTTAAAAAAAAAAAAAAGAAAAGAAATGGCCGGGCATGGTGGCTCAAACCTGTAATCCCAGCACTTTGGGAGGCCAAGGCAGGCAGATCACTTAAGGTCAGGAGTTTGAGACCAGCCTGGCCAACATGGCAAAACCTCATCTCTACTAAAAAAAACAACAACAAAAAAAGAATAGCTGTGCATGGTGGTGTGCGTCTGTAATTTGAGCTACTCAGGAGACCGAGGCAGGAGAATCGCTTCAACCTGGGAGGCAGATGTTGCAGTGAGCCAAGATAGTGCCACTGCACTTCAGCCTGGGCCACAGAGCAAGACTCCAACTCAAAGAAAAAAAAATACTATTGTTGCTGGTGAACCCTGGGATATTTGAAAGGGCAACTTTTGCCAGCAGATCACTCCTAAAAACCATAAGAAGTCCTTGGCCTGATTTCCAAGGTCACCTACAATCTCCGTCTACTCTACATGCCCACTATTGTCTCCCACTAGTTCCCAACACATTTAGTCTACCACTTCTATACCGGCCCTTCAATCATTCACGTGTCACATTCAGTGCTACCTCTTTGCTTTGCTCACACCAATTACCCATATCCGAAGTGCCCTTTCACCTCCCTCACACTGCTTTAAATCCCACTCAACAAAAGAGGTTGATGATGCACCCCATCATTTCCATAAGGTTCACCTTCACTGCTATAATTCACATCGAGCTCTCCCTCCTCCAAATTCATACAGCATAAACACTGTGCCACATAATTTTCTGTATCCTATATTGTGGCACTTCATTCATACCTAATTTTCATATACTGGTTTTTATATCTCTTCGTCTTTTTCCTACAAATGGATTAGATAGTTTGAAGGAAATATCTGGGTATAGAATAAGCTGTGCGTCAGCTTCACCCGGAGCCCTCTTTTAAAGGGGATTAGACCAAATGAGCAGCCACACTGAATTCCTGTATTTGCTCACTGGGGCTGCCATAACAAAATGCCATAGACTAGTTGGCTGAAACAATAGAAATTTATTTCTCACAGCACTGGAGGCTGGAAGTCCAAGATCAAGGTGTGGGCAGGCCTGGTTTCTCCCGAGGCTTCTCTGCTTGGCTTGCAGATAGCCATTTCCTTGCTGTGCTCTCACACTATCTTTCCTCTCTGTGCCCTGCTATCTCTTTTTATATCTAAATTTTCTCTTCTTACAAGGACACCAGGCAGAATGGATTAGGGTCCCTGCTCACAACCTCACTTTAACCTTATCACATTTTTAAAGGCCCTATCTCCAGATACAGTCATATTCTGAAGTACTGAGATTTGGGGTTCCAGCATGTAAATTTTGAGGGGATACAATTCAACCCAAAAAAGCTTCAATCACTGCTATCATAGATTAGAATGGGGCAGATGCCTGACCCATAGGCATCAGTTAGCTATTAGGCCAATACATAGGTTAGCCAGTAGCCCATCAAGTGGCTTAATATGAAAGCTCTGTCCAGGCGGGACCATAGTCAATATGTAGGAAACACATATTGTTTCCTGAGAGCTTGAAGTGGAAAATATGCCTGCTGGCCACAAGAGGAAAAGCTGAAATAGCACTGCTGGATATTCTTAGTCTCTTCCCTCCCATTTGTACCATACCCGGGTGCTTAGCAGTGTTTGATATATACTCTGAGTCTGGCTTTGGAGTAGATTCAGTCTACCAACAGTGTTACATTTTTGAAAATATTTTTTCTTCAAGCAATATCTGGCATTTGGCCTTATCCCCTCAACACCTAATTCCTCACTTCTAGTTTACTAAAAATGAAGGATTTTGGCCAGGCATGGTGGCTCGTGCCTGTAATTCCAGTACTTTGGGAGGCTGAGGCAGACAGATTGCTTGAGCTCAGGAGTTCCAGACCAGCCTAGCAACAAGACAGAACCCCATTTCTACCAAAAAGATACAAAAATTAGGTATATTGACATGCACCTGTGACCCCCAACTACCTGGGAGGCTGAGGTGTGAGGATTACCTGAGCCTTGGAGGTTGAGTACCACTGCACTCCAGCCTGAATGACAGAGTGAGACTCTGTCAGAAAGAGAAAGAAAAACAAAAAAGAGAGAGAGAGAGAGAGAGAGAGAGAAGGGAGGGAGGGAGGGATGGAGAGAAAGAGAAAGAGAGACAGAGAGAAAGAAAGAAAAAGAAAGAAAGAGAGAGAGAGAGAGAGGGAGGGAGGGAGGGAGGGAGGGAGGGAAAGAAAGGAAGAAAGAAAGAAGGAAGGAAAGAAGAGGGGGGAAGGAGGAAGAAAGAAGAAAGAAAAGAAAGGAAGGGAGGAAGGGAGGGAGAGAGAAAGAAAGAGGAAGGAAGGGAGGGAGAGGAAGGAAGAGAGAGAGAATGAAAGAACGAAAGAGAAAGAAAAGAAAAGAAAAAGAAAGAAAGAAAAGAAAAGAAAAGAAAGATTGAGGGAGGGAGGAAGGAAGGAAGATATCCAACATCTACCTTCAAAAATGCCTTCTACTGGGAGGCAATGGGAATAACAAGAATAACTGTAGAAAAACATTTATATGTTCCCAATGAAATTACAAACTATAGCAGTCAATGTTCCAGTCCCTACTGCTGTCATAAAGCCTACCCAAAACTTATGAGAAAAATAAAACTTTTTTTTTCTTACTATACCCACATATTCTGTGGGTCAGGAATTCAGAAAAGGACAGCTTATCTCTGTAGTACCATCTGAGCTGTCAGCTGGGAAGACTTGAAGCCTGGGGGTGACTTGACAACAGGAGATTGGAATCTTCCAAAAACTTACTCACATGTCTGGTGATCAATACTGGCTGTTGGCTGAGTCTTCAGCTGGGGCAATCAACTGGAACACCTACATGTGGCTTTTCCATGTGGCTGCTTGGGCTTCAAGGCAAAGGGCTTGCATTTTAAGAGCAAGAATCTCAAGGGAGCAAGACAGGAAACTATCACTATTTATGACCAGATAGTATGCTGATTCCCCATTTATAATGCAGCCCTGCTCTGCTGTAGTCACATGTCTGTCCAATTTCAAGGAAAGGGATCATAGACCTTGCCCCTCAATGGGAAAGTGTCAAGATCACATAAAAAGAGAGAAATTACTGTGGCCATCTTTGGAAATTACATCGACACAGTCTATCCTCTGGCAGTGATTCTTCCCATCCGTCTCACATGCAAAATGCACCCCTCCTCTCCTCCAAGGCCATCGAGTCCCATCTCATTATGACATCAGTTCAGGTTATGTAAATCAGGTTCAAGTGTTCATGAGTTCCTCAGGTACAGCAATTTAAGGACCATTTCTCCAGTCTAAACACCAGTAAACTAAAGTTCTTGGCCCCATGCACCCAGTTATACAATGGTTAGACACACCATCATAGATACTCTCATTCAAAGAGGGAGAAAATAAGAGGCACATAGCAATCATAGGTCCATCTGTGGCTCTGAAATCCAGCTGGGTGCATGTTGCCTGTTTCTGATTAAGGCTCAGGTTTGCTGCTTGTTTTCTAGCTCTTGGCTCTGCCCTCAGGAGTTCTCACTTGTGCCTACTGGATCATAATTCCTTTGCTATAAGAATGGCCTGAGTTTGCAGCTGAGAAGTTTTATCAACTGGGGGTCCAAAGGTCTCAAACTTTCATTTGTGCTGTTTCTGTTCCTTTCTGTGCAAGCTAATATGATTCTTTTAAAAACTTTGTGAGCTATTGGCATATTTACTTAAAATTTATTCCGTTAGGCAAAGAGCCACAGCTGCAAATCTCTCTGAGCTAGGTCTTTCTCCACCTTGGGCTCCCTGTAAGGCTACTATGGAACAGTGACTTTAAGATTCCCATAAGCCCTATTGCTAAAAAGGGAGGGAGGCAAGCTCCCAATTGCCTCTCTGTAATGAAAACAGAGCGAATCTTGGAGGAACACTGAGGCAAGAAAGCTGAGCCTGGCATTTTCATTCCAAGTCAAAAGCTAAAAGGAGGGTTGCAAGTGGTGCTTCTACTGGCAAAAGTCAAAGTCAAGCCCTCTCTGAAGGAACGTTCACCAAGTCAGACGCATGGGACTCACATCTCTGTAAGCTCATGTAATGGACCAGTGAAGATGACAACCACTATTAGTGACAGCAGATTTAGACACCCAAGAATTGCAAATTGTGGAATTGTCAGATTTTTAAAAAATAATTGTTATGAATGAGCTTTTTAATGAAATAAAATACTTGCTGCAATAGGCAAAAATGAGCATACAAGAAACCACGAGCAGTGAATGATCTTAAAATACTGCTCCAACTCCTGACTACAAGTGATCCGCCTACCTCGGCCTCCCAAAGTGCTGGGATCACAGGCGTGAGCCACTGCACCCAGCCAGCCTGACCAACATGGTGAAACGCTGTCTCTACTGAAAATACAAAAATTAGCCAGGCAAGGTGAGGCACGCCTGTAATCCCAGCTACTCGGGAGGCTAAGGCAGAAAATCGCTTGAACCCAGGAGGCAGAGGATGCAGTGAGCTGACATTGTGCCATTGCACTCCAGCCTGGGCAACAGAGCAAAACTCCATCTCAAAAAAGAAAAAAATACTACTCCGCAAGTTGCGTATTAACTTAAAAAAGGAGGGAACAAAAGGTATCCTCTAAATGGAGAAATCTGGTGGACATCAACCTCCCTATGTGATCCTGGTGAACATCAATGTTGGAACTCTGCTCTATCTTGTGCCTCCTGTGGTGATGCACAGAGAGGGACACAGTGTCACTTATGCCAGATTCCTGCCCTAAATGTTCAATCAGAATCCAAGAATGAGGAAGCAATTAGAATAATATAAACTGACAGACATTTTAGAAATAATGTGGCCTGAACTCTTCAGAAATGTCGAGATGAGGCCTGGCAGTAGCTCATGCCTGTAATCCCGGCACTTCAGGAGGCTAAGGCAAATGGATCACCTGAAGTCAGGAGTTCGAGACCAGCCTGGTCAACATGGTGAAACCCCATCTCTACTAAAACTACAAAAATTAGCTGGGTGTGGCAGTGCTCACCTGTAGTCCCAGCTACTTGTGAGACTGAGGCAGGAGAATTGCTTGAACCTGAGAGGCAGAGGCTGCAGTGAGCCGAGATTATGCCACTGCACTCCAGCCTGGCCAACAGAGCGAGACTCTGTCTCAAAAAGAAATGTCAAGATGATAAGAATTTTTTTTAGAAGACAGGTTCAGGAACTGTTCTAGATTTTTTTTTTTTTTTTTTTTTTTTTTGAGACAGAGTCTCACGCTGTCACCAGGCTGGAGTACAATGGCATGATCTCGGCTCACTGCAACTTCCATCTCCTGGATTCAAGTGATTCTCCTGCCTCAGCTTCCTGAGTATCTAGGACTACAGGCACATGTCACCACGCCCGGCTAATTTTTGTATTTTTAGTAGAGACAGGATTTCACCACGTTGGCCAGGATGTCTTGATCTCTTGACCTCATGATCTGCCCACCTTGTTCTCCAAAAGTGCTGAGATGACAGGGTTAAGCCCCCATGCCTGGCCTTGTTCTAGATTTTTAAAAACTAAACAAATAGAGCAGCTGATGGAATGAGTGATTCTTGATTCCACCCTGGATTGAAAAGGTAAGAAAAAACATTTTAAAAAATATTACTGTTGGAACAACTGGAGATATCTGAATTTGGTCTATATATCAGATAATATTGTGTTTCAGTGTTAGATTTCCTGCATGTGATGCTTGTATTGTTGTTACGTTAGAGAATGTCCTTGTTCTTAGAAGACATGTGTTAAGATATTTAGGGTAACAGTAATTGAATTCTCTGTGAAATGAATTCTTAAATGACTTACCAAAAAAATATTTGTGTGAACATGCAAGTGTGTGGAGAGAAAGAGAAAAAGCAAATGTGGTAAAATGTTAACAATTAGCAAATCTAGATAAAGGGCAAATGAACATCATTGTGCTATTCTTGTAGCTTTTCTGTAGGTCTGAATTTTTTAAAGTAACAAAAGATTGGGGAACTATTAACCACTACAAAGAAAAAGTAGAACGCATCCTGTTAACTATTAGTATCAACACTCCCACAGATATGTTGGGGTCATTTCTTTCTGCAGATCAAGGCAGAGTTCGGCCACTCTAGACAAGGCACAGTGAGATGAGGTCACTTTGCCAAGGTCACGAACACCATCACCACATTGCCAGAACTTCCCGACCTGCATGAAAATATCTCCTTCACCTTATCTGAATAGGAAAATTTAAATAAAAGATTCTGCTCCATTTTATATCATTAACTATCTGTTACACAGATTAAAAGATTAGAATATTCAAAAATAAAATGAAATAAATTTAGGCATGCTAGAGTGGAGACATTCAAGTTGATGCGCTCTGGCATTTTTCTTTCATTCCTTTGATGTTGTTTTAAAACAGTTTGGCCAGAGAGAGGGAGAGAGGGCAAGAAAAGAAATTAGTGCTGCTACAAATAACTGCCATCAACCACCAATTTAGGGAGTCACCAGAGCAGAACACTTCTCAGATGTCAGTGTTTCTCAGCTACACATTGCCCTTTCCTTCGATTATCACTGGCATGTCACCGTATTCTGCAAATCTCAGCAACGCCGCACCTCAGCCCACTAATCACTCATGCTTAAAAGCATGGGTCTGGGGGAACAGACTCGGGGAAAGCCCTCAGCCAGACCATGATGGAGCCAAAAGAGTGCTTAGGACTCTGTAGTTCTGCTGGCTTTAAAAGAAGAATTATCTGTACTTGCATGAGCTTGAGGAGAGACAGGACTGTTGGAGACAGACAAGCGATTATTTTCTTTTTCCCTCTCTCCAGTGAACCAAACACAATTCTCATTCTGGCTTCCCAGACTCAGAGCTCATGTTGGAGCTTTTCTCCCCTCGCTTCTCTTGGTCAGAGGTAATCACTTTTGTGGCTCATGACACATGTGTGATTTTATGTACAATATCTTAAATAGCACTTTTAGAAAATCTGTTTTCTGACTGGGGGTGATGGCTTACGCCTATAATCCCAGCACTTTGGAAGGCCGAGGCACATGGATCACTTCAGGTCAGGAGTTCAAGAGCAGCCTGGCCAACATGGTGAAACTCCATCTCTACTAAAAACACAAAAATTACCTGGGTGTGTTGGTACACTTCTGTAATCCCAGCTGCTTGGGAGGCTGAGGCAGGGGAATTGCTTGATCCTAGGAGGCGGAGGTTGCAGTGAGCTGAGATTGTGTAATTGTATTCTAGCCTAAGTGACAGAGTGAGACTCCATCTCGAAAAAAAAAAAAAAAAAAAAAAAGAAATAAAATTTGGTTTCTGATTAGCCTAAAATGGCTTGTTCTGGAAGAGATACTGACTGTCCTAAGAAACAGTCTGCTACATGATGAGATTTTGTAATTCCAAGGTCTTCTCAGAAGCAAGTTGTATACTGCAAAGGGTTGCATGCACTATCGTCAGGACTCCCCGCTAAGGAAAATCATATTGCAGGCAGGACGATGACACAGTGAGTATTAATGAAGGGCCTAGAAAGCTGAACTGGTAGAGAAATTCCTGACTGATAAGAGATGATGGGGTTTTGTGTGTTAACAGAGAAACTACGATACTTTTCTTTCTGCTTCTGTCTCAGGGAGAGAAGTTAGCCACAAGAATGACAAAAACAAGCATGGCCTGTTCTACTCATCTCTCCCCACCTCTTCCTTGCACAATCATCTCTCTGGTAGCACAGGAGGTAAAACCAAGTCACAGCTACCATCATAAAGGGACTTGAGCACTCAGCAAATGCATAGCCAAACTCTGGCTAAGGTTAGCCTATTTCCATTCACCAAGTCAGATTAAGAGGAAAAACAAATCAAAGTTATCTTTATAATCACATATTAATTCTAAAAACAATTGTATTTTCACCTCCTACAGTGTGCTGGGTAGGCTTGGAGATGCAAAAATAAATATCCCACAGCCCCTTCTATCAAGTTGCTCGTAGTAGAGTAGAAATGAGCTTTCCTGAAACCAGAGTAGTAGAACCACTAGAAAAGAAGAGAAAGACAATCCAGGAAAGACAGGATAACTCATGAGACAGCATCCCAACAAACACGGGAAGAGAGGCGGTCTGCACCCAGGAACTGGAAAAGAGACATCTCTTCCACAAAGACAGAAGGGAAAGAAGAGATGGTAGATCATTTTCACGATGCAACAAGGTCACCACCATTATAATTCTTGGTTTGTAATGGAATTTGAGCCATGATGGATTTATCACCAGAATGTCCCCAAGAGTTTCTAAAATCAATGGCTTACATTAAAGAAAAAAGACAAACAATTTAGAATCATTAGATTAAGGATTTGTAGTGCAAGTACTTAATTACAACTAAGTGTAATTTCTTTAAGCAAGTCATCCACTCTTAATTATATTATTACACTTGTTCTTCAGTCTGGTGATTAATACTGATTTTAATGTTTTTAATATAAGTTTCAGTATTATTTATGTTAAGTGAAATAAGCCAGGTATAGAAAGACAAATGCTACATGATCTTACCTATATGTGGAACCTAAAAAGTTGAACTCAAAGAAGCAGAAGGTAAAACAGTGGTTACCAGAGGCAGGGGGACTGTGGAATTGGGGAGATGTTGGCCAAAGGATACAGAATTTCAGTTAGAGAGAAGAAATAAGTTCAAGAGATCTACCATACGCCATGGTGACTATAGTTAAAAACAATATAGTATATATGTGAAAATTGTCAATAGAGTAGATTTTAATTGTTTCCAACACACACAAAAAAAGTATGTGAGGTGATGGATATGTTAAATTGCTTGATTTAACCATTTCACAATGTGTATATGTACCAAAACATCATGTTGTATCCCAAAAATATACGGATATCATTTTGTCAATTAAGAAATAAATTAAAATTTCAATATTTTCTAAAAACATAACTGTTTATATAACAATATAAGGCAACAAGTTAGTTAAGTTATTCCCAAAATATGACCATAAAGATAAAATCTGGAGAATAAGGAATTACAATCATCTAGGTCAAATGGCTTCTGTGATGAGATATACTAACTTTAACCACAATTCAGTGAACCTGATCTTCTCTCAGGCCTGAGTTGCACATTGATCCTGAGTCCAATCCTAGAGTCAGAAGTTCTACAAACCTCATGAGACATCAAGGCTAGAGTTGGCTTTGCCTCGAGCATTACACAGCCTTTGACCAGCCAGCCCGTTACATTAGCTATTAGCCATTTACCCTTGTTAGAATTATGATGCCAGTTGATTTCCAGACTATCAGTATTAGAAAAAGCCCCTCCTCATGGTTCCAGCTGTAGAGAAAATGCAGAGAATCGAGTCGGGCAAGCAGGACCTCTCCCTGGCTGGCTTACCAGTGAGATTACTTGTGGTAAATACATTTATGTATTTACATTTATGTAAATACATTTATGTCTTATTTCTTATTCCTGACTTCTCCTTCCTCCCCAGGTTGCTATTTCAGTAACTTCTCATCCCTTTTGAAGTATCTTAAATGGTCTTTGATCTTTTTAGTCTATTAACTTTTAAAAAATTCTATTTAAACATCAGCCAATATTCGACAAAATGAAATTTTTTTAATGAAATTACAGATTCCTCACCAAGATCTCCTTTCTTCCCCATATTCTCTGACTATTATGAGATCTTGACAAACAGAATGCTGGGTGTTCCATGGGTGATTCTAGCCAAGTGACTTCTATCTCTGGCATTTCAACACTGGTGTCTACTCAAGAGCTTCTCTACTGCTGAGTAGGTTAGGTTTCAAAAATCTGTAATAGATCAATTTTTTCAAAAGTCTATAATGAAGTTAAATAAATAACCAGCATGTACAGACAGTACAGCACTCTGATGTGCAACCTCTGGAGCCCAACTTCCTGGGTTCAATCCCACCTCTGCCACTTATCACCTGTGACCTGGCTGTGTAATCTCTGTTCCTGTTTTCCCATTTTTAAGATGGGGGAAGGGGATAATAATATCTCTCTGTTGTGAAAAATAAAATTAGTTCAAACGGTTAGAACAGTACCTGACACACAGAAAGTGTTCAATAATTGTCAACACTATTGGCTAGTGACAAAACTGAAATTTCCCCAGAACACTATAAATATTGATGGCATTAGTTTCAACTCTTCCTTTTTATTTCAACTCTCTTAAAAATATGTTCTTATTTCGTCTTTCTTTACCACATAAAAAAATTTATAACAAGCTATATCTTACCCAATTATAGACATTTTCATAAATCTCTTTAAGTTAGGATCCTGATTATCTAGAGTATTTTTTCAATAAAATGAAATGCCTATAATTTCAAAATGTATTAAATTTGACAGTTTTTTTTAGATTATTTTTTTTATCTTGCTTTGCTTTTCAAAAAAACAAAACCCAGCAAGCCTACCTTAGACCATGAATGAGGGCAACTCTAAAATAACCTAAGGTGACTGCTAATACCACCTGTTGTGGGGGGCAGATTTAATATGCTTTAGCTTTAGGGCATAGCTTTGCCATCTGGGAAAACTGTAAGTTGAAAGGTCAGAAGTAAAGGATATTCTATACTAAAATAAGAAGCTGAAAAATACATATTTCTCTTTAAAAATATGTTTATTCTGTATAATCATCAGTGCCCAGAGGAATGCTTGAAAAATAAATAGATGTACAATGAATGGCTATTGTTGAATGAGCAAAGGCCAAGGACTTTGTAAACGCTGTAAGTATATTTTCTCTGACACCTACAACATACCAAAAAAAAAAAGGTAGTATGATTTTCTACACTCTAGAGATAAGGAAACCAAAATTCAGACTGGTTAAACATTGTCCAAGTGGCCATCTGATTCTAAAGCCCTTCTTTTCTGTAACTCAAGGTCTGGAATTCATTTGAGGTATTATGCTGAGTACAGGAGGTAGGTCAGATAGCAGAGGGCACTGGGCTGGAACTGCCCTGGAATGAAACTCCAGGGCTGCTATGAGTGCACAGAATGAAGCTGAAGCACAAGATGCCACATCTTCATGGAATGAGAGGAATAACCCAAGTCTGCAGGCTAATCTGAGAAGAGATTGGGAAGCACTGCCAGGAGGGAAGGAATGCAGCCAAGATTTGTTTACATCTGGACCAGGAAAACACAGCCTCCTTTCTTTGCTTTCCCTGGTTTTAGTTATTTCTCCTACCTTCTCTCCCTTCCTTTTCTTTCCTTCCTTCCCTCCTTTCCTTCTCTCTCTCTTTCTTTCTTTCTTTGAGATAAGGTCTGGCTGCCTCAGCCTCCCAAAGTGCTGGGATTACATGAGCCACCATGTCCAACCTTTGGATTTCCTCATTATTTTTTTAATTTTCTGATTACAAAAGGAATAAATTCTCATTTAAAACAAAATACAGGAAACTCAGAAAGGTACTTTTAAAATACAAAAATTTCTTCTAATCCCACCACGTAGAGTTAACACTGTGCTGTATATCCTTTCAGATTTTTTTTTCTGTGTGTAATTATATCTGATCTTTCTTAAATGCACAGAGTAGGCCGCCTTTTGAAAGCCCAAAGATGCACCTCCACAGACCTGCCTCCATTTGCCCTAACAGCACAACAAAAGTTCAAACCTGCTGCCTGATGCTCACAGCCTCAATGTTTATTTGTTAATTGAGAATAAGAGCAGCACCATCTATCACCCCTACTTTATTAAAAGTTAGGCATTTGTATCTGAAATAAAATTACCTATATCCTTTGGGCTTTGGGGGATATTCTCTATTTCAAAATTAAAGTGCACAATTCTTACTTCAGTCTTCCTGTGCTAGCATCTGCATAGAACTTATAAAAAGTGAAACCACAAAATGAATATTTATACTTATTTTAAAATTCTGTGGTGGCTCACACCTGTAATTTCAGTACTTTGGGAGACCAAGGTGGGCAGATCACTTGGGCCCAGGAGTTCAAGACCAGCCTGGGCAACACGGTGAAACCCTGTCTCTACTAAAAATATAAAAATTAGCCAGGTGTGGTGGTGGACACCTGTAGTCCCAGCTACTTGAGAAGCTGAGGCAGGAGAATCACTTGAACCCAGAAGGTGGAGGTTGCCGTGAGCCGAGATCGTACCACTGCACACCAGCCTGGGCGACAGAGGAAGACCCTGTCTCAAAAAATAATAAAATAAAAAATACATTTTAAATACTCACCTGAAAACATACAAGCCCATGACTTATTCAAGGCACACTGATAAAGGCCTCATGTAAAATGTTGGCTGTTAGAGATCCATGTAGGGCTTTATGTGAGGGGCTTTCTACCCACTGGATATGAAATCAATCTTTGGACAAATAAATAATTGTAGTTTTTTTCATCTTTGTTGAAGTAAACATGCTTCTTGTTTTCCTCTGGCTGTTCTCTTTAATTAGTGTTTTTGTTGAATCACAACAGGTGGTGCTTGTAAATGTAATATCACCCCCAGGGGAGGAATGGTGAAGGCCGGCCTGAGGAAGCTGACCAGACTTCTCAAGATGGCTCCTCTAGAGGAAGCATGCCAGCCCAAGACAGACATGAGGCAGGCAGCCTGCTGTGCAGCTGCTCATTTCTCAAAGAGGAGTATTTACCATCCCAAGTCCTAGATTCCTGGATCCACTGTTAACTAGCTTGTAACTTCATGTTTTTGTAAAATAGGGATATTAATAGCACCCACCACTGTGTGGTGGTAAGCATTAAATAAGCTAATTCTTAAAAACTTAGAATGTTGGCCAGATGTGGTCAATATTCAGCAGATGTTAGGTAGGACAATCGTAAACTAATTTTCCTCACTTTGTTTTTATTGAATGCCATATGTACCAAGCACTGCAGGGAACACAAAGAGAAGGTTCCTTCCATTTATTGGGCATTGGCAAACACTGGGCTAGGTTCTTTATTTACACTGTGTTATTTAATCCTTATGACAACTTGATGAGGAGGTATCCTTAACCCCATTTTTCAAATAAGGAAACTGAGACTCAGGTAGATGACTCTTGGTCAAAAGTCATACCAACTAGAAAGTCCTTTCTCTAGAGAAAAAAAGAAAGGGTGCAGTCTTGGTCAGTTTGGGCTGCCGTAGCAGAATACTATAGACTAGGTGGCTCCTAAACAACATCAATTTATTTCTTACAGTTCTGGAGCCTGGGAAGTTCAAGATCAAGACTCCAGGAGATACTGTGTCTGGTGAGGGCTTGATTCTTCATTCATAGATGGCAGCTTCTTGTGTCTTCACATGGGAGAAGGGGCAAGGGATCTTGCTGGGGTCTCTTTTATAAGAGCACTAAGCCCATAAGGGTGAGGGCTCTACACTCATGATCTAATCACTTCCCAATGGCCCTACCTCTGAATACCATCACACTGGGGATTAAATTTCAGCATATGAATTTTAGGGGGGACACAAGCATTCAGTCTATAGCAGGTACACATACATTTATTAAGTGCCTTGCTAACTACATATTTAATCTAACACATGTAAACCAAATAAATTCTATGTAAATATTTACCATACCCAGTGTCAGTGACGGTGTGTAGAAAGTAACTCTAATATAATCAGTAATGGCTATCAAAAACATGTAATGTGTATGCCTTTTAACCCAACAGCTTTAGTAGTAGGAATTAACCCGTCTATTGAGACAAATATGCCAAGAGAAAAGTATCATGATATTCACCACCGCATTGTTTTCAACATCAAAATGTAATATGAACATAAAAGTCTAGTATGTAACCAGACAAGTTATGCTGAGATACAGTGTAGACCATAAGGAGTGAGGTACATAGATAGGAAAAGGTATTCAAGTGTCAGTTCTAACTTCAAAGAACAAAAAAATCACTAAGCAAAGAGGCCCCAAGGGTGCTTCGGAGAGAAAATGAAACTAGATTTGAGTCTGAAATGAAAAATCAAACTATTTTTGCCAGGCTGAGGAGAAGAGGAAGGTCCTCTACGATGGAGCAGCCATCAGTGATTGACCAGGACATGATCTTGTGCAGTGGAAAGACCACTGTTGTGGATTCTGAATCCCTGGCTCTAGAGTGACCTGAGGTAGAGACTCCCAGCCCTTTTATATAAAAGTACTCAGATTGGCAGTGAAGAGAGCTGCATTCCCCAAGAAAACAAAAAGTGGCTTAAAGGGAGAGAGGTTTATTTTAAAGTCTCGAATTTCCCTACCTCTGACTTTGGCTAATGGACGCTATGTCGCTTCATTGAGACTAACAAATTAGGAATGTTGAAATGAATTAAAGAGATGTGGTACAGCATATCAAGTTCAATTTCTTTTTTTGTTTCTTAGAGGTCTGGTTTTTCAAGGACCTAGGCTCACATAATTACATGGGCATAAACAGTGGAAAGTAGAAACCAAAAATCCAGAGCTATTTTAGCAGATAGTTGAACCTCTTTGTCAAAGCCAATGATTTTTTCCTTATTTTTACTTCCTTACATATGTTGTTTGTGAGGTAACTAATGTTTCAAAAAGTAAACTGTGGCCATAGGCCTGTGGGTACTCCTCAGGAAGGACCACCGCTTCTCTGATTTATCTGATCTATGTTGGGATTCTGTGTAAAATATTACTTGAAAAAAAATTACAGCTTAATAGAAAAAGATTTAAAATCACAGCTTGAAAAGCTAGCTAGTAAACTATAGGCAAGATTTCTATATCTTAAATGATAGTGTCCAGATTCATTTGAACATTTAAAGTTCCAAAGGAGCTTTACCTCCCAAAATTAACTGCTGCTGACAAAAACACAAAATACACATTTGCAACTAAGGAATAAATTATGTTACATTTATTAGTAAAGAATTTTCTAAGTAAATATTAGCATTGCCCTCTGCTTCCAAAATGGCAGCATAGAAGCAAGCTGGCTTCACTCATCCCCACAGAAAACCAAAAACAAATATACAACACTAAGAGTATCACCAGAAATATCCCAGAACTCAAATATGAAGATGAGACAGTTCCCAGGGCCACAGAGAAGTGAAAAAACTCCAAGCAGTCAGTAAGAGAATCAGATTTCCACATTCACAATGACACTCCTCCCATTCTACTCAGCACAAAGCGCACAGAGAATTCTCTACCAAAACTCATCGTTTCTACACTGTAAAAAGTGAGATCAAGGTGATTAACCAGCCTCCTCACCATAATGCATTCCCTGGCAGGAGACCCGTACCTGCCTTAACCCATGGGAAGCATTGCTAGTGCCTAAACGAATAAATATCCCTGAGGACAGTCAGAGGCAGACACAGGGGGGAAGGTGGGTCTATCATCCCCAGCCCCAGAAACTCTACTCTATAACTCAGCCAAAGGAAATTACAAATTGGATTGACTGTTCAGCAGCACAGTGCTGTAGGAGATTCATCTTATAGGTCCCCCGGGCACTAACCCCTACCCAGTCTTCCGACAATGCTGGGATATCCCCATTTGGATTGTCCCAACTCAAGAAGGATAGCGCTCCAATCATATACTTAAGCTGAGATACACTTGGAGTTAAGACATCACCTAGAGCTGAAATCTGACCTAATGGCAAAGATTTGCTAAGCAAAATATGCAATTAAAAACCAATACAGGCCAGACAGAGAACACTGGAATAATGAAAACACAATGATGCATTTCAATGCAAACACAAAGATGCATACCAATGAGGAACAACAACAAACAGGGAACCATGACATCCTCTAGACGGAAAACCCATAATACTTTATTACTGTAATTATGGCATACAATCCACTCACAACTCTAGTATTAAGCCCAAAGGACAAATCTATCAGAACAATAATAGCTACAACAACTCATTAACAAATAGGTAATATAAAAATATGTAAATTGAGATAACCAAAAGTCAAAATATGGGAGGATGGAGCTAAAGTTAGAATTTTTGTGTGCTTGTCTTGCCTTTGCTTGTTTCTATTCTTGTATTTGTGATCTAAGACAAGTTGATACGCCTTTAAAATAACTTGTTATATCTACAACATGTTTGTATAAGCCTCATGGTAATCACAATGCAGAAACCTATAACAGGTTCACTAAAAATAAAAAGCAATGAATTAAAACATGCTACCATAGAAAATCACTTAACCACAAAGGAAGACAGTAAGAAAGGAAGAGAGGACTTACAAAACAACCAGAAAACAAGAAACAAAATGGCAGTAAGTCCTTACTTATCAATAATGACACTGAATGTAAATGGAATCAATTCTCCAATTAAAAGGCATAGAAAGGCTAAATAGATAAAGAAACAAGACCTAGCTATATGCTGCCCTGCAAGAGACCAATTTCACTCATAAAGGCACACATAGACTAAAAGTGAAGGGGTGGAAAATATTCTATGCAATTGGAAATGAACAAACAAAAAAATAGGATTAGCTATACTTATATCAGATAAAATATACTAAAAATCAAAAATTGTAAAAAGAGTCAAAAATTATGTAATGACATAGGATTATGTAACGACAAAGGGATTAATTCAACAAGTGGATAAAACAGTTATAAATATCTGTGCACCTAGCACCAGAACTCCCAAGTATATAAAGGAAGCATTAATAAATTTAAAGGGAAAAACAGATTGCAAGACCATAATACTAGGGGACTTTAACAGCCCACTGTCAGTAATGGCCATATCATCCAGACAGAAAATCAACAAACACTGGGTTTAAACTACACACTAGACCTAATCAGCCTAACTGACATTTACAGATCATTTCACTCAACTGTTGAAGAATACACATTCTTTTCATTAGCACATAAAACAATCTCCAGAATAGATCATATATTAGGCCACAAAACAAGTCTTAACACATTTTTTAAAAAAGTAGAAATCGCATCAAGCATCTTTTCTGACCACAATGGAATAAAACAAAAAATAAGTAACCAGAAGAACCTCAGAAACTTCATAAACACGTGGAATTTTATCAACATGCTCCTGAATGACCAATGGGTCAATGAAGGAATTAAGAAGTAATTTTTTTAAATTCTTAAATGAAAATAGAAATGTAACATAACAAAATCTATTAGGTACAGCAAAAGCAGTACTGAGAGAGGAGTTTATGGCCATAAATACTTTTATGAAAAAGATAGAAGGACTACAAATAAACAACCTCAAGGAATTAGAAAAGCAAGAATAAACCAAATCCAATATTAGTAGAAGTTATAAGATCATAGCAGAAATAAATGAAATTGAGACCAAAAAAATACAGAAAACCAACAAAACAAAAAATTGGTTTTTTGAAAAGAAAAGCAAAATGGACAAACCTTTGCTTACACTAAGAAAAAAATAGGTGGCCCAAATAACAAATATCAGAAATGAAAAAGGAGAAATAAGAACTGAGATCATAGAAATACAAAGAATCATTAGACTATTATGAACAACTGTGCACTGACAAATTAACAAATCTAAAAGAAACAGATAAATTCCTGGACACATACAATCTACCAAGATTGAAATAGGAATAAATAGAAAACCTCAACAAACCAATAATAAGTAATGAGATCAAAGCTATAGGAAAACCCAGGAACTGATGGCTTTACTGCTGAATTCTGCCAAACATGTAAAGGAGAACTAATATCAATTCTACCAAACTCTTCAAAAAGACTGAAGAGGAAAAACTACTGATCTCATTCTATGAGGTCAGAACTACCCTGATACAAAAACCAGACAAGGACCAACAAAAAAAGAAAAACTACAGGCCAATACTACTGAATAATATGGATGCAAAACTTTTCAACAAAATACTAGCAAACCAAATTGAACAACACATTTAAAAAAAATCATTAACCATGATCAAGTGGGATTCTTCCCAGGAATGCAAGAATGGTTCAACATATACAAACCAATTAACATAATATATTACATTAACAGAACCAAGAATAGAAGCTATATCATTATTCCCAAAGACCCTCATCAAACTGGATATAGAAGGAATATACCTCAAAATAATAAATGTGATTTACAACAAATCCACAGCTAACTTACTTACTAAACGGAGAAAAAAATGAGAGCTTTCTCTCTAACTTCTGGAAGATAAGGATGCCCACCTTCACCACTTTTATTCAATATAGTACTAAAAGTTATGGCTGGAGCAAATAGGCAAGACAAGGAAATGAAGGGCAACCAAATTGAAAATTAAGAAATCAAATTAGTCTCGTTTACAGATTAGATGATCTTATACTTAGGAAAACCTAAAGACTCCAACAAAAAAATACTTGTTAGAACAGATAAATTCAGTAAAGTTGCAGGATGCAAAATCAATATGCAAAAATCAGTGGCCTGTATATACACTAATATTAAACAGTCTGAAAAAGAAATCAAGTAAACAATCCCATTTATAATAGCTTAAGGAATGTAAAATACCCAGGAATCAACTTAACCAAAGAAGTGAAAGAGCTATACAAGAAAAGCTATAAATCACTGATGAAACAAATTGAAGAGGACACAAAAAATGGAGTATCTTTCCATGCCTATGGCTTGGAAGAATTAATACTGTTAAAATGACAATACTACCCAAAGCAATTTACAGATTCAATGCAATCTCTGTCAAAATATCAATGACATTCTTTACAGAAATAGAAAAAGAAATCTTAACATTTATATGAAACCACAGAAGACCCCAAATAGCCAAATCAATTCTGAACAAAAAGAATAAAGCTGGAGGCATCACACTACTTGACTTCAAAATGTACTATAAAGCTATAGTAACCAAATCAGGCTGGTACTGGCATAAAAACAAACAGATCCATAGAACAGAATAGAGAACCCAGACATAAATCTACACATTTACAGCCAACACCATTTCAACAAAGGTGTCAAGAACACACTATGAAGAAAAGACAGTCTCTTCAATAAATGGTGCTGGGAAAACTGGATAACAGTATGCAGAAAAATGCAACTAGACCCCCTATCTTTCACCTTAAACAAATATCAAATAAAAACAGATTAGATTTAAATCTATGACCTGAAACTATAAAACTACTAGAAGAAAACATTGAGAAAATATCCCAGGACGTTGGTCTAGGCAAAGGCTTTTTATGGAAGACCTCAAAAGTACAAGCAACCAAGCAAAAATAGACATATGGATTACATCAAGCTAAAATGCTTCTGCACAGCAAAGGAAACAATCAGCAAAGTGAAGAGACAACTCACAGAATGGGTGAAAACATTTACAAACTACCCATATGACAAGAGTTTAATAATCAGAATATATAACGAGCTCAAACAACTCAATAGCAAAAAAAAAAAAAAAAGTCAAATTTAAAAATGGGCAAAAAGTCTGAATAGACATTTCTCAAAAGAAGACATACAAATGGCCAAGAGGTATATGATAAAATGCTCAACATTATTAATATCACAGAAATGCAAATCAAAACTACAATAAGATGTCATCTCACCCCAGCAAAAATGGTTTTTATCAAGACAGGCAATAACAGAAGCTGGTGAGGATGCAGAGAAAGGGGAACCTTCCTACACTGTTGGTGGAAATGTAAATTAGTACAGCCACTATGAAGAAGTATGGAGGTTCCTCAAAAAACTGAAACTAGAATTACCATGTGATCCAGCAATTTCACTACTCAGTATACATCCAGAAGAAAGGAAATCAATATATCAAAATGACCCCTGCACTCTCATGTTTATTGTAACACTATTCACAATAGCCAAAATATGGAATCAGTGTAAGTGCCTATCAGTGGATGAATGGATAAAGCAAATATGGCATATGCAAACAATGGAATATTATTCAGTCATAAAAAAAAATCCTGTCATGTTGTTGCAGCAACATGGAAGGATATGGAGGTCATTATGTTAAGTGAAATAAGCCAAGCACAGAAAGATGAAAAATCACATGTTCTCAGTCACATGTGTCAGCTACAAACTGGCTCTCACGAAGATAGAGAGTAGATTGGTGATTGCCACAGGCAGGAAAGGTTGGAGTGGGAGAGGAAAGATAAAAAGAAGTTAATTAATAGGTATAAATATATACAGTTTGAGAGAAGAAATAAGACCTAGTGTTAAACAGATCAGCCAGCGGAGTGACTATAGTTTACAATAATCTATTGTATATTTCAAAATAGCAAGGAAGAGAAGAATTTGTATGATTCTAGCATAAAGAAAAGGCAAACATTTAAGGTGATAGATATTCCAAGTACCACTGATTTGATCTTTACAAATTACATGAATGTATTAAATTATCACATGTACCCTGAAACCATGTTCATCTATGAGGCATCAATAAAAAATTAAAATGGAAAAATATTAAAATTAGCTCTAAAACGTATAAGAAGAAATCTAACTCAAGGTATCTCCCCTTGTTGAGCCCACATCTGGAAAGCAGCATGGAGAAATGAAATGAACAGGAACAACAACACTGGAAAGAGAATGGGCTCTGGAATCAAGCAGGCCTTGATGTGAAGGGCAATGGGACCTTAGACCATCACATAAGTGTCAGACAGTTGCAGAGCTTTCTCAACTGCAAGACACGGAAAACAATATTAATTTCATGGGTCTATTGTAAGCATTAGCCGTGATATATTTATAGTGCCTGGCACAGAGTAGGTGCCAAAATAGGGTAGTTACTAATAGACAATTCACTTAACTCTGAGCTTAGTTTTCTTATGTCTAACAGGAAGACGATTCCTATGAGAGAATAGATATAAAAAGGATTTCTGAGCTTTAAAATTATCTGTCGAAATTATTATCAATAATTGGGAAGCCAATATATGTAGATATAGGGCATTTGCTAATACATAGGTTACATTAAAGTGTATGATTTCTATCTCTGAAAATATTGTAAACCAGGGCTGCAGGGAAGAGGGGAAGGGGCAGGTTGTAGTATTAAAAACAGTGATTGAACAGGCACATGTATGTTCATTGCAGCTCTATTCACAACAGCAAAGACATGAGATCAACCTAGATGCCCATCAATGATGGACTAGATTTAAAAAAAAATGTGGTACATATACACCAGGGAATACTATGCAGCCATAAAAAAAGAATAAAATCATGTCCTTGGCAGCAACATGGATGCAGCTAGAGGCTGTTACCCAAAGCAAATTAATACAAGAAAAGAAAACCAAATACCACATGTTCTCATTTATAAATGGGAGCTAACCATTGAGAACATATGGACACAAACAATGAAATTACAGATCCTGGGGCCTATTTGTGGGTGGAGGGTAAGTGATGAAAAACTACCTATCATTGCCTGGTTGACAAAATTATCTGTACACAAAACCCCTGTAAGATGCAATTTACCCATGTAACAAACGTGCACATGTACTCCCTGAACCTAAAATACATGTTGGAAAGAAAAAAAAAAAATAGCAGTCAGGATGGGCCTCATTAAGAAGGCAAGACTTGAGCACAAACTTGTAGGAGGTGAGTGAGTATCTGCAGGAGGGGCCTCCTGAAAGAGGGAAAGGTTAGCGCCAACACCCTACAATGGGAGCAGGCCTGAGTGTTGAGTTGCTCCAGCCTAGCATGGCTAGAGTAACACAAGTATAAGGAAGACTTGATGGGCAAAAACTCAAAGAGGAAACAGCAGTCAGATGATGCATGGCCCTAGTGCACATGTTAAGGACTTTTGACTTTTACTCTCATTGAACACTATGATAGGATTTTGAGCAGAGGAATAAAATGATCTGCCGTTTTAGAAGAATTACTCTGAGAATAAAATTTCCAGTGGCAAGTATAGAAGCAGACTAACCTGAGCAAAACCTACTACAGGGATCCAGGTGGCAGAGAATGGCTGAAAGTCAAATGAGAAAGAGTTGAAGAGAATAAACGGCACAACTAAGAGATTAGCACAACTCTTGACTACAAAGCTGCAAACACAAAATTCAGTGCAGAGCCTGGAGAGTGCTCATGTGAGTGAGAGGCCCTGAAGCTTTAGTTCTGTCATCAGCCCTACACATCCACCTCTTTATCAGCCAAGGTCCCTAGCCTTGTGGGTTGGGTGGATGGTGAGGTGCTTACCAAGTTGGGTACCCAGGAGGAGATGAGAGTTTGCAAGCAGGAAGAAGACAGATCACGCATTCCATTGTGAGATTTTTGAGATTCATGGGTCAGTGCAATGCCCAAGTGAAAATGGGCCTGGCTTTCCATGCTTCTAACGATACTGCCCAGAGCTACCAGGATGACCTTTCCTTTGTTTTTTTTGAGACAGAGTCTCGCTCTGTCACCAGGCTGGAGTGCAGTGGTGTGATCTCGGCTCACTGCAACCTCCACCTCCCAGGTTCAAGTGATTCCCCTGCCTCTGTCTCCCTAGTAGCTGGGACTACAGGTGCATGCCACCACACCTGGTTAATTTTTTGTATTTTAGTAGAGACAGATTTTCACCATGTTGGCCAGGATGGTCTCGATCTCCTGATCTTGTGATCTACCTACCTCTGCCTCCTAAAGTTCTGGGATTACAGGCATGAGCCTCCGCACCTGGCCAGGATGACCTTTCTAATAGACACATCTGATCAAATCACTTTCTAGCTTAAAAACCTCAGTGCTTTCCTTTGCCCATATTTCTTTAAAAAGAAATGGTTACTTACAGTCTAGCCCTGGCCTGTCTTTCCAGCCCTGTCTTCCTCCATTCCATCCCTGACACTGTTCCGTCTGACTTGCAACTCCCTATGTCTACAATGTCCTTCTCCAACTACTGAACTCCTCCACTCCCTACACTGCCCTGATCTAGCTTCTATGAAACCATGTCCCCACCCTGCACCTCCTCAAAGGCAGAACTAACCACATCCTCCTCTGCAGACTCAAAGCCCTCTGTACACAGTTCCATGAAATCTGCACCCAGAAACAAGAGCCCATAAGCCTGAGAGGCAGGGTCAACAATGGAGCAATTACGGAATTTAGAATTAGATCAACCTGGGTTAAAACACACACACTTGCTGTATATAACTTTAAGCATGTTGTTTAATTTCTCTAAGCTCAGCTTCTTATAAAAGTCATGCCTATTTTGTAGAATTGATGTCAAGATTAAATGAGATAATTTAAATCACCCCAAATAGGACCTGGCACACAACAGGTCTCCAAAAATTATCATTTCCCTCCAGACCCTGTTCCTCTTGGGAGGAACATGTTTTATTTATATTCTATATATGTCCCATTGTCACTGGTCACCAGCACGTAATAGGTGCTTGGTAGACGTTGAGCTGAATGAATGGACCCTGTCTTCTCAGAAATATTTACATCTACATTTTAGAAGTAAATGAGTTCAGAGATTAGGATAGAAATTCTAAAGTGGACATTGGCATGTAAATCCCCTTGGGTCTAATATCAAACCAACTGCTTCCCTTTGGCAGCCGCAGCAGAGCCCTTGTCTGTCTCTGGGGCGCATCCGGCCATCCTGCCTGTGAAGATCTCCCCCACTGCTCTTCGGAGCTTGCATTACACCATGCTTTTCTCACCTCCGTCTCAGCTGTGCTCCCACTCCTCAGCCTTGTTGGTTCTGTTTTCTTCTGCCATTTTCACCACACACCATACGGCTCCTTCCTTGCCTGCCTGAAGCCTGGAACTTCACAGCCTTCTCCAGGCTTCCCCAGGGCAACCTGGGCCCTCTGGGCCTGCTGACCACCCCCTTTAACTAGCAGCTTTACCCTGACGCTGACTCTGAAACCCAACACTGTTCTAAGGAGACGCAGGATACAGCCTTTCAGTAAATTCACTTCAGGGGCTGGGTCTGCCAGTTAACTATGAGCCCCGAGTGTTTTGAACAGGTGGTGAGCTTCCAAACACAATATGATCATGTGTTTAATCTTAGAATCGTGAGAGGCTAGTAGGGCAAATACAGAAAAATGCAATTTTACAGATTTTTTTCAACCTCCTCCAGCAGCCAGTGAGGCAGACTCCTGGTGCAGAGGATCCAGTACAAACTCTGGACCTTAGTTTCTTCATTTGGGAAACAGATAATAATACATGTCACACAGAGTTACTAGTTAATGTCATGCCTGTATTTGTTATCTAGCAATGCATAACAAATCAACCCAAAACTTTTAGCCTTACCAAAGCAATGTTGTTTATTAGCTCTTGCAGGTTTTGTGGGCCAGGAATTTGGGAGCAGCTGAGCTGAGCTAGTCTGACTCGCGGTCTCCCACGAGATTGAGGCAAGTCTGGTGAGTGGCTACAGCTGGGGTCAATCTCAAGGGTTCTTCATTCACACCTCTTGCTCCTGGGCTGGGAATACAAACAGCGAGCAGGGGCTGGAGTAGCTGTGGCTCCCCAGGCACCTCCCTCTATCCCTTTGGGCCCCTCCACAGGGTCCCTCCAAATGGACCCTTCAGGGCCTCTGGATTTCTTATGAGGTAGCTCAGGGCTCCAAAGGCACGTGTCTCACTTGAGAGAGAAACTGGTGAAACCGTATCATCTTTTCTGGCCTGGCTGGAAAGTCACACAGTAGCATCACTTCCATTGCCTTTTATTTGTTAGAAGCAAGTCACTACCACCAAACTATATTCTAGGTGAGAGGAATTAGACCCCTCCTTCTTTTGAAAGAGTGCTGAAAAATTGTGGACGTCCTTTAAAAACACCATAGTATACACGCCCAGTCCTCAATAAGTAGCAATTTTTTGCATGTATCAGATGATTTGAAAAATAAGACAAAAAAATGCCTCTGTGCCCTATCATTCCTATCTTCACTCTTCACAAACACACTCACCATGAAACAATGTGAAAGTACTTAGCAATTTAGACAAAAAGATAAAAGGAAGCATAAAAAGGGGAAGCAAAAATAATGATCGTTGACATTTATTGATCACTTGCTCTGTGGCAAGCCCAGTGTTAAATGCCTTACATACATTATGTATTTTAATCCTCAGAACAATCCCAGGGGTTTTATCATTAACCCCCTTTTACGGAGGAGAACTCCAGAGTCTACCAATATTATGTGCATTGTCCAAGATTAGGCAGTTTAGTAAAGACATAACAAGGAGTGGAATGCAGGCAAGCTGACCCCAGAGCCTGTGTGCCCAATCACTATGCACACTGCTAAGATCATCTTAGCTCAGATAAGCAGCTAGGAAACCTTTGGCTTAAATTTTCCCTCCCTTGGAAACTCCAATTTGAGAGGCAGTGTATTTGAGGGAGCAGGTGGAATAGAACCCAGGAATTCAAAAGGTTCTTGAGTCTGGAAAGAGAAATGCCAGGTTGTTGTTGATGAGGAGGGAGCTCAAGAAGAAGTATAGGAACCCTGCCAGACAGCCAGATAGGAGGGAGGCCTGGCCCCACTCAGCCACTTGCTGGGCTCTCCCACGTGCTTAGCAGACAAGGCCTTGAACAGTCTAACAAGGGTCTCTTCCGCCACCACTGTGCCAGCTTAGCTATCTCAAACTTGTGCAGTTTAGCACCACCTCCTACTTCTCCTCCCACCAGGAATAATTCAGGGGATTCCCCACAGCCTCTCCTTCAGGATGTGGAAACCACCCCAGGTGTCCTGAAACTTTGCTGGGTGATTAAACAGGAAGAGAGCATTGAACAGGGACTGAAAAAAATCTCGTCATCAGATTCCATCCTTCTAGTAAGGCCTTGGGGGAGGCACTAAGGGGATGGAGCACAGTTCTCTCCAGGGCCCACAAGAACGTCATGTGGCCCACATCCTGGACCCAGGCCCACGGAGGTGCTGCCACAGGTAGAGATGAGCTGTGGTCTCACTTGGGGCTCCTGAGACCTAGAGCAGTGCCTATTGCAGTTGGCCACACTTAGGTCCCCACCCCTGCCTCCTCCAGTATCTCATTCCTTGGATGCCTTCTGAGATCCACTCCTGGGTGTCCAGGGCCCTGTCTTCATTTGTTACTCTCTATCCCTGTTGTCTGAACTTATTTTACACTGTAGTTGCCCTCAGAAACTATAGAGACTTTCTTCTCTCCTACTATAGGATAGCCTTCAAAGTATTCCTAACTCAATATATTCAAAGACCATCATTCAAAAAATGTTTATGAAGCACATACTATGTGCCAGACATAGTTCTAGGTACCAGGGATTCCACAAGGAACAGGATGGCAAAGTCCCTGGCCTCCCTGAGCTTACAGTCCAGGGAGGTTTAACAAAAGGAGAATTTAGATTTCACCAAAATATAGCCCAGGTAAGTGGAGCACAGGAGAAACATTCAAAATAATGTCAGTAATTTTCCTTTCACATCTAAGTGCAGCCTGCCAGGGTTTGTGAAGCATAATGGAAGTGAGATGCCGTCTCTGGCACTGAACGACGGCCTGCAGCAAGTCACCTGGCCTTTCAGTCATCCTTCAAGGGTCACCTGTGCAGCCTCGGAATTCACCTACATAGACCTCACCTGTGGCAGGAATGTAGCCTGTGCTTGGCTTCTGTCATCACTCCCTGCCTGCACTTTCCAGCCAGAGGATTTGTAGGAGAGGAAAGCTGCCACATCCACCCAAGGTGCTTCCTTTTGCTTTGACCTCTCCCCTGTTTGCAACAGTGATCTCACGGACCTTTGCAAGCTCTGTCGACAGACTGCTTCTAGGAGCAGGTGTTTGGCTGTTTGGTATCACATGGGACACAAGCCTTGCCAGGGTTGGCATAGCCTCACTTTAAATTGAACGTTTGCATGGTGGGAAGAGCTAAATAATTGAACCGTTAAGTAGGTAAAAGAGGAGTTTTACATTGAGAACAAGACATTTTAAAAACTAGAATGAAAATTTCACATGAATTTCAAAGTTAAGAACATAGGAAGTCAAATAAATTTCAGCTTTCTGGCTGGCAGCTTTAGGCTTTGCCTCCACACCCCAACCAATTCTACAGGGGATTCACTTTCCCTCTCCTCTGCCCTACATTATAGATTGGTTTGGAAAGTTCTGATAGGAGACATGCACTCTCATGGTGCCCTTATCTTTGGGATAACCTCTCCCAGATACTCTCTAAGCAGGGATAGGCAGGCGGGAGCAAAAGAGGCAGCTTGGCTCAGCTGTTAGCATACTCTTACAGCAGCAAACCCAACTAGAAGTGGCCCTGAGCAACAAGGACAAATTATTATCTCTCACAACGACAGCTTCCATAGTAAAGAAGCTCCAAAGTTTCCTTAAATGAGAAGCTCAAAAATGTCATCAGTGACCCAGATTTTTTTCCATTTTCTCTCTCTGCCATTCTCAGCTTGTTGATGTTTGTTCGTGTAGTATCCCGACATTCGAGCATCATATACGCGCACAATGATAAGGGGGGGCAGGAAGAGAGGCAGCACTCCTACTCCGAGTCCTTTTTAGAAAACAAGAACTTCCCCAATAGGTTCTGCCACCCTAGCAGATCTCCCCTGGTATGTACCTCATTGGACAGAATCATAGCACAAAATTATAGGCAGGAGGAATAGAATTTCTGTAATTGGCTTATCTAATGCAGATTCTTCCACCTCCTAGAGGTGTCTCTCCCTGAAGAGTGTGGCCACTGATACTGGAGCCAAATCAAGGTTCAGCTGGTAAGGCAGAGTGCAGGGAATAGTTGTCAGCAGCCTTGCAGCCACTGAAATGTGACCTCAACACCTTCATCTCCCCATCACCCACCATCACAAAGAGTCCTGTGGGAAAGCAGGATGATTAATGGGGGAAAAATGAATGTCAAGTGGCTTTCAGTTCCTGAGATGAAAGAGCTTTGTTATGCTTTTGTTTTTAATCATCTGGTGTATGCAACACTTCATTAGGCAAATCCAGTAGGTTGCTTTCCCAATTTGGAAAAGTTTTATCAACTTTGTCAACTTGGAAGAAAGCAGCAGAACAAGGTCTGCCGAGCCTGACCTCTTCCACTGAGTGGGCTATGGATATGCCTCCCCACTGAGTGGCTGTGGCACATACTTGTATGCCAGGGTCACTGGGAAGTATCATCAGAAGCACAGAACAAGAAGGCTGGGTCTTAGTGCTCATCCAATCTCCTGAATGCTATGCATCTAATTACACAGAGAAGCAGGTGGAAGAGCAGACAGGAAAGGGCTTGCTCAGGGTCAGGCAGCAGAGTGGCAGAGGCAAGAGGGGAGCCCCATGTGGTGTTCATCTGCTTTCACAAAGCCTCTTAGCTCCAGCTCAGGCCCACCTGGCTAAACAGCCTTCTTACAATTCTATAAATACCTTCAAATAACCAGAGTCCCAGATCACAGACCACAAGAATAGGACACGAAGCTGAGAGGCAGATGGGGGGAAGGGAATTGGGGTGACCTTCCTGATGTATAAACATTCCCCAAAACATATAGACAGTGGGCATATCTAATGTTGAAGCTGAATAGAAGGAGCTAGTTCATCTTCTTTACCTGAAGTGGATAAGTTGCAAGACACCAAAGGAAGGAAAGCAGTGAAAAGAGAATTTTTTTAAACCATCCAGTTAAAAATAAATATGATACCAGATCCCAACAGACGAACATGAGTTTAACTACAGAAAAAGAAAAGGCCTTTGTTCTTCCTTCACATTCTCCATAGACCTAGACAAAGCTGCCCAAATATCTCATAGGCTCTAAAAACTTCCTTTCAGAAGTCCTACTTTTTATTGTATCAAGCATATTAAGATACACACATATCACACATTAAAAATAATTGATATACAACACAGCAAGAGTTGTGTTGCAGTTGATTCATTGAAAAGAAATATTTCATAGACATTAACTTAAACATTCATTTCTTTTTTTATTTTGCAGTTTTCTTTATATGTTTTGTGTTTACATTTTCACCATGTCTCACACGTTGCAAATATTTTAACAGACCCTTGAAAAGATATAAATCCTAGACCCTATGCTTACAGCATTAAATGGATAAAATGAGAAACCATGGATCTTTAGACCCTGCCACTCCATAGAGAGGGAGTGGTGGGAGTTGAGTTGAGCCAGGCACTCTTAACATCTGTTACCGACCTTAGCAATATGCCTAACAGGACTGATTTGCATCTGTGTAATACTTTGTACCTTACCCAGATCTCTTGTATATTTGATTTCATTTGATTCTCTTCAACAGCTTAGGATATAGACACTAAATTAGTTGTATTTATAAGAAAAATTTCATTTACAGTGATTAACTTGTTCAGCATCATGCGACTAGTAAGTGAAGAACCCCAAGTTTAAAGGTCTTACTGTTCTTATAATCATCTGCATTGGATCACAACAAGCTGCCTTCAATTGTACATTGGCAAACATCTCCTGAGTTTTGTCCTGTATGACTGAGAAGGAATGAGCCATCTCAGGGTCTGATCCCTTT